TGGGCAACTTTCTTCCTAGTCACAATCTCCCAAGTCTCTGCCACATCTCTCGATCTTCTCACCCGACCGTCAAGCATCGCGCGGCCCCCCAAAAAACTCGCTTGTATAATTCGCCGACCACCTAAAGTAAGTCAACACTTCATTACCATTGAACTACTGTGACTGTCTAGCATGGCCATCAAGCACACTCTGCCGTCTCCTTCAATAGGTTCAATAGAAATATGTCCGACTCGGAGTCATACTTCTGCCCTATGCCGTGTCGATACGGATGGGGCGGCATAGGTTGCATGATACAGATATACCATCGGCTTGGCTAGGGTTCAAGCACTGGTTTGGCTCTCCTTTCACTAGCACCTTGTGTTCTAACGTACATAGTATACGACGACATTGAGTAAGCGCGCTCATCCGAGAACATAAATCGTGGGTGGCTGCCACTAATGATGGGCCAAAAATCCTTCGATGATACCGTCATAAGCAGGCCTTTTGGCGAAGGTCTGCATGGGACGCCAGCAATCAGCTACCATCGTCTGCGTACGCATAGGAGGAAGATCAACATACATCCGTCCACGGACACGCGTCCCCCTGACCCGGGAACGTGCCCGGGATCCACGAATACTGCAAGCGCACAACTTCGCGTTAGCAGCGCCGCCCCCGCACACTGACAGCCACACACACGCACCTTGTCCGTGAAGTCCCACAGCGTGACCCCGACGCACTTCTCGACCGCGTTGCACGCCGCGACGACGGCCTCGTAGTCCGCCTTCTGCTGCGCGAGGCCCACGGCGGTCGGCGGGAGCGCCGTGAAGCGGATGTCGAGCTCGGTGATCGCGACCTCGAGCCCGAGCGCGACGAACTCCTCCATGTTCTGCTGCAGCGTCGCGGGCACGCCGCCGACTTCGAAGTGCGACTGCAGCCCGACGCCGTCGATCGGCACGTTCTGGCTCTTGAGCGTCTTGATGAGGCTCTTCAGGGCGTCGGACTTCGCCCCTGTGGGGATGGAAGGGAGGTGTGAGGGCGATGGCTGAGTGTGGAGTGAAGGCGTCGGGAGCGTACCTATCCCCTCGATGTTGAAGTCGTTTATGTACAGCTTCGCTTGGGGGTCGGCTGCGCGCGCGGCGTAGAGTGCGAGCGGGATGTAGGTTGTGTTCAACGTGTCGAAGAAGATATCGGAACGGAACGTTCCGTCATCGTTGAATGCCTCTGATGGTGCACCGACGTTAGTACAAAATGTCACGACCGAGGTCACCGCTGAATGATACTCACCGTTGATGACGTCCCAGCTGTCTGCGCTCGGGGGGATATAATGCCAGTCAGCGCATTTCAAGATGATACATAAACCACCACGTACACCTACCCGACATAGACGTTAAGTGCTATACAAAATGAAGCAATACGTTGAACGTACACATGACCCTTGTAATGGTTGACGAGGTTGAAGCAATGCCGCGAGACAATAAATGCGAGGTCCGGAGCGCTGAACGTGCCGTTCTCGAGCCAATCCGGCAGCTGGTTATGCCACACGCAGTTATGCCCACGCAGCAGCTTCCCGGTCTTCTTGGTGAAGTCCGCAATTATGTCGGCGTCTTGGAACGTGAACACACCCTCTTCGGGCTCTGTCGCAAACTACGGCGGCACAGACTGTTAGTTCAAGTTGATCCGCACAGTCGAGCGCAATAAAAAGACGTGCCCATTTCATGACGTTCGCAGCCGTGATCTGTCCAAACTCGGCGTTGTCCTTCAGGATGTTGAAGTATGTTGTGTCGTTCCACTGCTCGCTGTTCGTCGCCGTTCCAAGATAGAGCTTCCGCCCTATGCTCTTAGCTACAGTGTTCAGCCCCGACAGCGGGAAGAGCCCTGCGCTTGCGGCGTCCACAGAGGTCACGACTGCGCCGGCAAGCAGTAGAAAGGACACAAGCATGTTGGCAGGTAGGTGGAACATGGCGAGGTTGGCGAACAGAGGCGAACGTGCAGGCCGCTGTGCCACCAGCCGCAGAGCAGCCCACCTTTTAACCAGCGTCGGCCCGCCCGCGAGGGCCGCACCATCGCCACCTTCGACGAGGACGCATGCGTGCACGCCGTAAGAGATGCCTTCGTGACCCGGGTCGTCCCAATTTTCGAAACCAGACGGGCCCCGGAGAGATGCAGAACCCACTAGGTTGAAGGATCACCAAGTGTACCTACCCCTAGCAGACCGCGTGACCTCGCAGCGGACAGCTACGGGGGTCCGGTCTCGATCGTTGGCGGACTCGACGGCGAGGGGTGCAATCGACGCTGCTGTCGGGTGATCTTCGGTTTTTTTATAGGCTAGTAAAATGTGGGAATGATTCACATGCTCTGTCGCGCCCGGAGGTCATGGGGGTGCAAGTGTATGTATCGTTGCATGTCCGGCGGGGCGCGTACATTAAGCAGTCGAGATTCGATCAATGCGCCCCGCTTCGAGCTTGGTGCCTGCAGGATTGTCGAGGATCCGTACGGGCCATCGGTGTCAGAGCGCACGTAGTATTCTGAGCCAGGCGCGTTAACGGAGCAACATTTGTGGCGGCTCACACCTAGCTATACCTAGTGCATATTTTCTCAGGACTCCCTGAATATTCGCTTGATATAGTGTTCATGTGGTCGAAGTTGTTGTGGAGGTCGACGACGACGCGCGTCAGCCATTAAACAGGCGCTAAATGGCTTGACGCGTACCACGTGACCGCGCATATACGCAACGCGCGACGCGCCCGTATCACTACAGTCGAGTCTACCACGTCAACTGAGGCGAGTAGATACTTGTTTCTTTCGGGAGAATGAGCACTATCATTACAAGAGTGAAAATATTGCCTCATGTGCAAGGCGAGTGCTTCGTGTGATCCTGTTGGATAGTTACCACTTGTGCCACTGCGTACAAGGCCGAATTCGCAAGGTGCTCGCGAGATCGGGATGTGCCGTGTAGGCAAAGTAACGCTGCAGCGTGAGCATGGATATTGGGGCCTATCAATCTGGAGAGCTTGTCTTACTATCATGGCACGGACGTAGATACGGACCGCGGTACTACACGAAGTTTTCCAAGTGGTAGTAGCTGTGGCACCGGGAATCGCCGTGCTGGAAGCTCGGAAGTCCAAGGTGCGAATACTAACAGTAGTCTGCAAGCCCTCAGAACTGCAATGGTAGTCACTTAACGTTGATGACAACGATAGATATAGATACAATTTAGAGGCCTGCTGTTGTACAACATGGTAATACAATCACACCCGCGCCGCGGGTACGCACACCAGAGCGGTGATCACGCACAAGCAATCCCCTGCACTTGCTCAATCTCATCCCCCGACACCTCCCCCTTCCACACGCTCAGAACGCTCTCCTCCTCATCCACACACCGCAAAATCGCCTCCACATCCTGCCCCGCGACGCACGCCAGGTAGCACCCCACGAGCGCCATTGCGTCCGTCGGCCGCCCGCGCGGCGTCACCACGAGCGCGCGCACCGCGCCCTGCGCGAGCTCCGGCAGGGCCGCGACGCTCCCCGGGAGACACTCTACGAGGAAGTCGCGTGCGGCGCGTAGTTGGGCGTCGGTCAGCGCGAGCGATGCGCGGCCGGCGGGACGGCGGGTGGACGCGGGGAGGGTGAGGCGCAGGCGTTGGGGGCCGCCCTTGGAGGAGTGCGTGCGTTGGGCGTCGCTGTGGCCCTGGGGGGCGGGGCCGTGCGTGATCTCGACGATGTGGGTGAAGCCGGTTTCGTATGACCGGTCTGGCTGCGCGAAGGCGACCCAGAGGGCGGGGATGATGGATTGGAGGTGGGGCTCGCTCGAGCGCGGGGGCTGAACTCGTACGCCGGGGCGGAGATGGGTACGGGCGCGGGCGCTGGTTTAGGTGGTGCAGCAGCGAGCTGCTTGTCGTGGTAGGTCACAAACGACGGTTTCGGATTCCGGCGACGGGGGAGGTTGTTGCGGTGCGGCTGGAGATTGCCCTTTGGTGACCACGGGCCGGGGACCTTCGACGACTGGAATGCGAGCGCGGGGTTGTCGATGTGGAGGGTGAGGTTCATGCCGCAGCGTTCGCGGAGGGGCCGCCGGACGGCGGGCGCCGGGGGCGGGAAGACCTTGAGAGGGCTCGAGGGGTATGTGGCGCTGGGGCGCGATTTGCTCGGGATGGCGAGTGTGAAGAGGGTGGTGGTGGTGGTAGCGGACATGGAAAGGTGTGAATGCTGATAGGTGTGGATAATGACGAGGTTGGGGCGAGGGCTGATAAGGCAGGCAGGTCGGTTTTCGATGTGGACAAGTCGCAGACTTGGGTTGTAGCGGCGTGGTTTGGGTTTAGAATAGATGAGGGAACGCAAGGATGGGGTGAGGCTGGGTTTAAGTATGTTCAGACATGCGGAAGACTCGCCGAGAAGACAGCGCGGACACGAGGCGGATGTGCGAAGGTGGTGCGCGATAAGCCATCCACCCCGAAAGGCGATTGCGAGTGCCCGCAGACGGAGATGGCTCCATGGTTCTCTTCCGAGTGCGGCATGTGCAGGTGCGAGCCGGGTGCACGGAGGTGCTATGGCCCACGATCCCCGCTCGGGTACGAGCAGAGCTCTGCTCCATTCCGAGATCCGGAGGTCTAGACGTCGGCGCTGTAGGTAAATGTCGTCTACAAGCGACCCTAGAAGCTCCTCGTTACTTAAAGTAGACATAACCGAGTCTATATCCGTCGGTCCGATGCAACATAAGGCGTGGATTGGGATTCGGGCGGGCGGGGTTCGGATCGACTCCGAGTGGCCATGGGACGTTCTTGGTGCCCTCTGCCAGAAGAACGGAAGATATGAGTACGTTTATATGACATCGATCAAGCAAAAAAGCAAGACTGAAGAGCATCATGATATGTGTGTCTTTGCCGTTGAACGTAGTAATTATGACACTTGACGACGAGAGGAGACGGGGGAGTACATAAGCGCCCGTGAGTTCCGTGCGGAAGACGGAAGAGTCAGAAAATGCGTCACAACTTGTGCTACACTATATAATAACTACTATTAATGGCCGACTAGCTCAGTTGGTTAGAGCGTGGTGCTAATACATGTATCTGTTACGCCAAGGTCGTCGGTTCGACCCCGGCGTTGGCCATTGTTTTTGTTTACTGAATCCGCACTTTCACATTTAAGTGACATCGTTAATAGCAATACTGCAGTAACCTATATGTGTTTATAGAGATATCAAGAGCAGCAAGTTTACTAGCTAAATGCCGCCTGGGCCGGCGGCTCGAACCTTGTGTGCGGGGTGCTTGAGAGGCGGCGCGCCGGCCCGACGGGCGCTGGTCGAAATGCGCTTCAATTGTCGGGAGGTGACCTTGCACACAAGGTAATGATGATTACTACGCCGACGACTTGTCGAGAAAGGACACCCTAATCCCAATTTAAACGTTTCGTGCAGACGTACACCACCTGTTTTGTAAATTAAATGAGCCTGAAAGCAAACTTATAGTCGCATTTCGATGCCAGCCCACCATCCGGGCATACGACAGGCATGCTTTCCTTATTAGTTCGGAAAGTAGCAGAGGGAAATGAGTCGGTTGTGCGGCCTTTCCGTGGAAGAGCAACTTGAAGGCGTTGATCAGCCGTTTTCAAGTTACAGGGAAACTCCGGCAGCCCAAGTTTCCGGCGCATCTCAACGTGGGCGAACTAAGGCGCTGAGCGCCCGTGGTGTATGCGAACAGATAAACGAACAGGCATGCTGAGTTGACTAAGTGAATGGATGCGTCACCCAACGTCCGCCGGTAGGGTTCAGCCAGTGTATCCTGCATATATATACCAGATCCGAACGATACATGCATAGATACGCTATGTAGTACCCGTGATACGCTCAGGCTCCAACGCTCTCAAGACGTCGCCCAGTTGATGAAGGCAGGGTCCACATTTCCGAACGAGCCACCCTGCTGCAGGCAAGAGTAGATACTGCCCACATTGTTCCCACACACGACAGCGAAACTGCCGGGCGAGCTCGCCTCCGAGTACGCATAGCACGCCTGCTTCACGCCGGCCCAGTAGCTGCCCAGCTCCATCGTCGAGCAGTCCACCTGGAAGTCCGCCTGCAGCGCTGCGCCGTCCTCCCACACGTACACCCCGTTGCAGCCTGGGAGAGGCGCAAGCGTGCGCGTCGTGGGCAGCGTGAGCCCGAAGAACGCGTTCGAGCCGACGTTGACGAGCGTCGCGGGCGCCTTCCCGTTCTCGTTCGTAAAGTACGAGTCGCCGAGCTTGAGGAACCCTTGCGAGCCCGCACCAAAGCATGCGGCGGGCGGGGCGCCAGCGGGCGGGCCAGAGTTGAGCGTCGGGTTCTTGCTGGGGTCGACGTCCGGGGGCACGGGCGTGGCGGGCTGCACGACGTTGGAAGACGAGTCGAGCGCGTTTGTGACGGAGGACGTCGCGGAAGAGACCTGGTGCATGCTAGATGAGCATAAGAAACAAGGATCGCAGCTGCGTACTCGCCTGATTCTTGACCTCGTTGAGCCAGTCGGCAAGGTTGGGGCCGAACGAGAAGATGGAGTTCAACGCGCTCTCCGCTGAGACAACGGCGGAGTCCGAGGCCGCGATAGCGGATGCGAGAGAAGCGTCGCTCGCTGCCTGAGCCTGATAAAGTTGAGGTCAAAAAATGATAGTATGAAACACCACGACACATAACTCACCAATGCGGCGGCAGCAGGACCGAGCTCACTCGCTGCAGCGACGGCGGCAGCAGCAGCAGCAGCCTCCGCCGGGGCGGGGTTGGCAGCGGACGCAAGTGCGGCCGCGGCCGCGGCAGCTGCAGCTGCAGCAGCGCTCGCACTAGCATCGGCGATGGACGATGCTTCTGCGGACGAAGTGGGCAAGGGCGGCTTCGTGGTCGGGATAGTACACGACGACGCCTGGCGTTTCTCCAGTGCCGCAGCGGCCTCGACATCCGGTGGCGCAGTCGGGGTCGGGGTCGCGTCGTCCTCCACAGCCGAGGGCTCCTCGAAGTCCTCCTCGAAGTCCACCTCATCGACCTCCGCTGCCAGCGCGGGACTCTGCCCGGGAGAGCACGGCGGGCGGGGCGGACTGCAGTCGATATCGCCGAGCGTCTTCGGGATGCGCATCGCGGTCTGCGACACGTCGTACAGCGTGTCCACGTCGAACGCGGGCGGAACGGGCGTCAGAACGTTCTTGTTCACCGCGTAGCGGAACGTCTGGCCCGACGCGAAGAAGGCGGAGCCCGCGTCGAGACTGCCGATCGCCTCCGCGGGCGCGCCCGCGGGGATCGTGTCGGAGAGCTTCACGATGTACTTGTGGCACTTGGACGGCTTCCCCCACGACGTCTTCCCGTTGTGCGCTACGGTCCGGAGTTGCGTGACGTAGGACTGCAACGTGCCCTGCAAGTCCTGCTCCGCATTGGTGACCGCTTTGACAATACTGTTCCCCGCACCGCCTTCGAGCGACGAACTGAAAGGGAACTCGTCGCATGAGACCTATACAGCGCTATCGTAAGTCCTCCTCCTTTATGACACGAGCGGCATGACAGGGGCTCACCTTCCAGTAGTTCGGGTCGTGCTGGAGCGGATCGCACTTGCCCGCCGCCTGCATCGCGTCCTTGACCGCCTTCGTGCACACTTTCTTGCGCCGCTTCCCACTGTCGAACGGATCGTACGTGAGCTCCATCTGGTCCGTGGTCGCGTCCCACGAGTCGTGCGAGCGGATGTTCTCGCAGATGCCGGGGAAGTGCGGGCAGAAGTACGTGAGCGTCGGCAGCGTGTCGGGCACGTCGACGTCGCGCTTGCACGTGTCTGGTGTGATTGCGCGTCTGGTCTGCGTCTGCGTTGTCGTGTTTGCGCGCCGCGCATATGTGCTCGCTGCGATGGTCAACGGGGAGCGTTCCAGGACGCGGGTTGTGGCCTCTTCGCGGCGTGCGGTGACGTTCCAGTGCACCTGCTTTCCGTTCAGCACGAGGGGGAACAGCTCGCCGTTCACGTAGACGGGCGGGGGCAAATTGGGGGGCTGATGTTTCGCGAGGCCGAACCGGAACGAGCCCGTCGCGTTTGCGTCGGTGATCTTCGCGGTGAACTTCGCCCATTGGTGGGGCGCACGGTCGGGCGTGGGCTGTTTTAGCGCTACAGCCCGAGCAAGTGTGGCGACGTCCGGCTGGACGGTGTCCGGGGGCGGCGGGCCGTAGTCCCACCAGCAGTCAGCGGTGTCGTCCATCAGACATGGCCAGAGGAGATTCGGGGTCCAATTGTCCATGTTGTCGTCCAGGGTCGGGAAGAGGGGCACGTAGAGCGGTGTGCCGGGCGTGGTCGCGGTCACGGCGGAGGAGAAGTGATACCAGTCGTCGAGGTTGGTGTAGGGGATCGCGCCGTCGACGCAGCGGTCGCCGGAGCAGAACCCGGTCCACGTTGCGATTTCCTCCCACCTATCCAGCACGTCGTCTCCGGACCTGATGGAGATGAGGCCCAGTCAGCACCGTCTTCCTCGTCCAATACGAGGAATGCTTACGCGGGGAAAAGGTTTGTTCCCGTCCCCTGGATCGTGTTGTAGAACCAATCGATGAACGGCTCTGTGGATGGACAGTCAGCAGTTTCCAAGAAACTCAGAGGATGAAGCGCATTGAGCTTACGCCAGGTAAGAGAGCAGCCCCCGGGTTGGAAAGCACAAGCTCCCACTATAGTAGCATACACCTGTTATCTATTCAGTACGGTTAAAATATATATGACCACGGTTTAGTTTACTCACATTGTTGTAGTCCAAGCTAGCGATATCGGTAGGTTGGTGACACGTCCCAGCACAGCATGCCGCATCGAGAACGGATGCCATCTACGGGACGCTTAGCCTAAGTACGTTTCCATCTAGAAAAGAGATACTGACTGAAGCACATGTCGCGGCAGCAGCACAAACGTTGTCGCTCCAGAATGCAGTAGAACCGACCTAGTCGATAGAAATTTCAGTGAGCATGGCAGCGCAATAGGGAAAAATGGTCCACGCAAGCACTGACCTGTCCGGTGACGATCTTCGTCACACAGAGCCCGACCAGAGAAACGCAGGAGGTATCCGGGGCGGAGATGCAAGAGCCAGCCACGGTGGCGCGAGCATTGAGAGCACCGGCGTCGGAGGTCACTGAGATAGCGGAGGCGGCACCCCAGAAGGGTGAAAGCAGGAGTACAGCCCGCAGAGGTAGCATATTGTGCGAGGTGTAGATCGCACAATGCTGGCTGGGGAGCCCCCATGGTGGGAGTTTTATAGCGTTCATGCACTAGCGCTAGAGGCCCAGGTCAGCAACCACCTACCGCCCTACCGCGCAACTTGATGTGCAAAGGCATTTCCTGTACGAGCAAGCGCTTCAGAGTACACATGACAAAGGTCGGCGATTGGCAAACCACATTGTATTTCATACGCCCACCTGCAGGCCATATGGCATGGAAGCAGGTTCTAGCGGGATTCCGTGAGTTCGACAATTGAGCCACTATTACAGCAGCGCGCGCGTACCTCTATCAAACCTGATCGCGATCTACGGCACCGCCATACGCGAATCCCGTAGCGGCGTTCCTAGGGCAGGGATGGCTGTGAGGCTGGGTTTAGCTATGATGTTACATGCGAACTACTAATCTTCGCATTGGGGCCGCTGCCTGCTTAGAGTTGACGCATGCTGTCTGTGCCGCTGCCAGGTGGTGCAACTTTACTACGCCCCCGATCGTGCAACTAGACATTGTCGAGAGCGCTGGTGCCAGTGGGTGTGTTAGCGAGCGACTCGGACCCGCGTCAGGTCGTTGCATACAATCGGTACCGCGCCCGTGATGGCGCGGAGAGTGCAGCGCCGATAGACGCTGCATCTAGACCATAGCGAGGTGGCTAGGTCTGGCTAGGGGATCATGCGTGGCTGAACTGAGCGGTTCTGTGAGACGGCAGCGGGCCCGCTAGACTTCGAAGATCCCGGATGAGTTGGCTACTCAGCGGGAGATCGATCTTACGTAGATAGGCTCTGTTTGAGAATCGGAGATGCTACTGCACCTCCGATTCGGAACCTCGAAGGGTTACTGCCAAGCCAAAGAGGAGGATATATTCATGGTGGGCGGCAGCAGTACCTACCGAACTCTACGGAATCCATCAGCACTCCGGACGCTATTA